CTCCAGAAACCTGGGTTCTGTGTTCCTGATTCTGCCTGGGCAGCTCAATTTCTCTCTGTGCCTCAATTTTCCCCCATCTACAAAATAAGGGCAGTACCACAGAACTCCTTCGTAATGCAATGAGATACCTTTGCAACACAGCAAGATTGTAGACAATGGTTAAAATTCATTACATACAAGAGGTGAGTATTCCATCACTAATACTCCCCTTGACGAAGGGTTTTTAAACACGAAAGCTTGCTAAGAAAATTTTTTCCAACTATTTAAGTTGGTCTAATCAAAGATATCAGATTCACCCAAAGAACCTTGTCTGCCTATATCCTTAGACCAACACAGCTACAACCTACACCCCTACTCCCCATGAGACATTTGTGTGCATCTTTTTTTTCTGATTAATTTGTTCCTTGAACAAACATTTGTGAATTCAGGATGGGGAAATTAGTTCTATAAAGCAACATGAATTGCAGTCAAGTTTGGTTCTATCGCCGCATGATCAGAGGCAAACCCGATGGTTCTGAACAAATATGGAGAGCGAAGAAATCACTCTCTCAGCTCCCTTCCTATTCGCTTGGGCAGGCAGCCTGCCTCAAACTGGAGGAGGGGGAGGAAGGTCAACATAGTCCACAGTGCTAGCCACAGCTAGCACTCCAGATAGGATGACTAAAAGATTCCCTCCTACAGAAATTCACCAAGGACTCCACTGCATCCTGACCAGAATCCCACTAGATACTGTGGGTGAGAGCGCCACCTCCATCCTCCTTGCATGATCTTGGGTCACTTGCAGCTACGACAACACAATTTTCTGTGAAACTGAATTAGAATCTGTTACTATGGAAACAAGCTCCAAATCCTAAGGATATTAAAAAGGGCAATGTTATCCTTTAGAAAATTGGATCCATGGGGGGGGCTCCACATTACTGCTTAGCCTCTCCAGCTCCACCGCCCCCACCTTGCCTTTTATGCAGGTGTCCTCCCTTGGAGCAGATGTATTATGTTTCGCGATTCATCACAACCGTGATTCACCATAAGGCTGGGGGCCTCCAGCTATAGTTTCAGCAGTCAGCTGCCCACTCCCAGTACATAAGTGGTAACAGAATGCTAAGTAGCATGTTAGCTAGTGTTACATAACAAAAATACACCACGTTAGAAGCAACGAGATAAAAGTAACACAGGAAGTTAGTCCACTGCTAAATATACACTAGAGTATTTCATTTAATAAACACTGTTGGTAACGTAACTGTTCCAGGGCAGGTGTTAATAAAATTACTACTTGCGTGAGAATTCTGGCAAAGACTGTAAAATGATCGTTACTACTGCCCTATGTATGTAGGTTATCCTCACTCCGCTACTGGGAATAAGGGTCCGGTTAAAGAAAATTCCTCACACCTTGCTACCTCCCAGAGACTTCTGGAGGAGTGAAGGGATCCTTCACCTTGCAGGCCCTACAAGTTCATTGCAAGGTCAGAAAATTAAAGGCAAAAAATACCCATGTTAAATTATTGGCTTCTACTTCAAAATAAACACTTAATTCAGTGCAAGGCAAATTAAGGGCCCAGTTCTACTGGAAGAGACTCTCCAATTCTATTTAAATCTATTCCTCATCACTTCTGCATATGCATGCACACTAGGAATCAGCTAGCCTACTAAACAGCTCCTTTCCCTCCTGTGGGATCACAAATCCTTGCCAGAGAATGCCAAGCAAATATATAGTAGCAAGTGAGCTGTTTAGAAGATCAGTTCCTTTACGCTAAGAAACCCATCCAACCTTATCACTTGATTTTTCTCTTCACATGCCCAACATCTAATCCTATCTCCCTACAAAACCAGAGTTATTGATGCTAGTTCTGTTATTTACCAAGGGTTTAGGGAGTAGGTTAGTAAGCTTTCCTCAAGTATTCTCTCATCTGTATTGTGTACTCCACAGTTGAGATTTTACAAGAGCTCTTATGGGACTCTTCTTTAGGAGTGGAACAGAAGATTGAAAGCTGTCTACATAAATTTCTATTTTTAAAACCAACCTACTGAATTCAATTACCTTTAGAGCCCTATTTCATTCCTACTGGTTCCTTCTCTATTAAATAGCATACAAGTTTTCCTTAAGCTTTCAACTTGAAGTTTAAAATTAGCCTCTTCTCCTGATAAACAAAACAAGAAACCACCCCCTCCCTTCCCAAATCCATAAATTGTATGCATGTTCTCCAGCCATTCTCCATTCCCTCCCTTGCATACAAAATTCAAAGAGAATTAAGTAAAAATAGCCTAGGGATACGAGTAAAATACTGAAGGGTTTGTTTTGGGTAAATTAGGCTTTTAAATATCCCCCTCAAAAAAAAAGTTTAATCTTCAAACTGTTCTTTAATTTCATGCACTTGTCCTCCAAGAGAACTGGTGCCTTCAGTGGCAATGCGTAGGGGGGGCCTGTGCACCCCCTGAGAGCACTGGTGCACCCCCGACTGGCTGCGCTCCCCACTTAGGGGATGGGGGGGCAGGCAGGAGCGCCAGTGTCCCCCTGCAAGAGCTGGCTGGGGACTGCGAGTACCGGATGGATGTAGGCCGCGGACGCTTCTGGAAGTGCCGTTGCCACTTCTGGGAGCAGCACAGCCACTCACCATTCGGACCCCACCCCCTCCCCCAAGTCAGTGAGATTGGCCACACGCCCGGGGGGGGG